GATCTGGATCAACATCTCTACACCCGCACCCCATGCGCCTGATCTTCGCTGGTGGGTTTCACATCGTCTGCAGATGTGCCAGCCTTTCAGGGAAACAGAAAACAACATGAGGTGAAGAAATGAAAGTCCTTGTCTTGAAAATGGTTGACTTTCGCTAAAAGACTCATGCCTTCCAATGCCATTTTTGGGATCGTCGCGTTTTTTGGCGGGTATGCGTGGTGCGACTGAAGTCACAAGGCCACACCGTAGTGATACAAAAGAAGAAACTGAGGGTTATCTTGTTGGATAGCCCCCTTCTATGGTTTTTCTTGTTTAGGGAGCTTGCATTTAGGGTAGGACCTAGGGACCTAGGATGCTTCTGGATGGTGACAGTGCCAAGGATCTGGATCAACATCTCTACACCCTGACCCCATGCGCCTGATCTTCGCTGGTGGGTTTCGCATCGTCTGCAGATGTGCCAGCCTTTCAGGGAAACAGAAAACAACATGAGGTGAAGAAATGAAAGTCCTTGTCTTGAAAATGGTTGACTTTCGCCAAAAGACTCATGCCTTCCAATGCCATTTTTGGGGTCGTCGCGTTTTTGGCGGGTATGCGTGGTGCAAACAGAAGTCCCAAGGCCACACCGTAGTGATACAAAAGAAGAAACTGAGGGTTATCTTGTTGGATAGCCCCCTTCTATGGTTTTCCTGTTTAGGGAGCTTGCCTTTAGGGTAGGACCGAGGGACCTAGGATGCTTCTGGATGGTGACAGTGCCAAGGATCTGGATCGACATCTCTACACCCTGACCCCATGCGCCTGATCTTCGCTGGTGGGTTTCGCATCGTCTGCAGATGTGCCAGCCTTTCAGGGAAACAGAAAACAACACGAGGTGAAGAAATGAAAGTCCTTGTCTTGAAAATGGTTGACTTTCGCTCATGCCTTCCAATGCCATTTTTTGGCGGGTATGCGTGGTGCAAACAGAAGTCACAAGGCCACACACCGTAGTGATACAAAAGAAGAAACTGAGGGTTATCTTGTTGGATAGCCCCCTTCTATGGTTTCTCTTGTTTAGAGAGCTTGCCTTTAGGGTAGGACCGAGGGACCTAGGATGCTTCTGGATGGTGACAGTGCCAAGGATCTGGATCGACATCTCTACACCCTGACCCCATGCGCCTGATCTTCGCTGGTGGGTTTCGCATCGTCTGCAGATGTGCCAGCCTTTCAGGGAAACAGAAAACAACACGAGGTGAAGAAATGAAAGTCCTTGTCTTGAAAATGGTTGACTTTCGCTCATGCCTTCCAATGCCATTTTTTGGCGGGTATGCGTGGTGCAACAGAAGTCACAAGGCCACACCGTAGTGATACAAAAAAAGAAACTGAGGGTTATCTTGTTGGATAGCCCCGTTCTATGGTTTTTCTTGTTTAGAGAGCTTGCATTTAGGGCAGGACCGAGGGACCTAGGATGCTTCTGGATGGTGACAGTGCCAAGGATCTGGATCAACATCTCTACACCCTGACCCCATGCGCCTGATCTTCGCTGGTGGGTTTCGCATCGTCTGCAGATGTGCCAGCCTTTCAGGGAAACAGAAAACAACATGAGGTGAAGAAATGAAAGTCCTCGTCTTGAAAATGGTTGACTTTCGCCAAAAGACTCATGCCTTCCAATGCCATTTTTGGGACCGTTGCGTTTTTTGGCGGGTATGCGTGGTGCAAACAGAAGTCCCAAGGCCACCGTAGTGATACAAAAGAAGAAACTGAGGATTATCTTGTTGGATAGCCCCCTTCTATGGTTTTTCTTGTTTAGGGAGCTTGCCTTTAGGGTAGGACCGAGGGACCTAGGATGCTTCTGGATGGTGACAGTGCCGAGGATCTGGATCGACATCTCTACACCCTGACCCCATGCGCCTGATCTTCGCTGGTGGGTTTCGCATCGTCTGCAGATTTGCCAGCCTTTCAGGGAAACAGAAAACAACATGAGGTGAAGAAATGAAAGTCCTTGTCTTGAAAATGGTCGACTTTCGCTCATGCCTTCCAATGCCATTTTTGGGACCGTTGCGTTTTTTGGCGGGTATGCGTGGTGCAACAGAAGTCACAAGGCCACACCGTAGTGATACAAAAGAAGAAACTGAGGGTTATCTTGTTGGATAGCCCCCTTCTATGGTTTTTCTTGTTTAGGGAGCTTGCATTTGGGGTAGGACCTAGGGACCTAGGATGCTTCTGGATGGTGACAGTGCCAAGGATCTGGATCAACATCTCTACACCCTGACCCCATGTGCCTGATCTTCGCTGGTGGGTTTCGCATCGTCTGCAGATGTGCCAGCCTTTCAGGGAAACAGAAAACAACATGAGGTGAAGAAATGAAAGTCCTTGTCTTGAAAATGGTTGACTTTCGCCAAAAGACTCATGCCTTCCAATGCCATTTTTGGGATCGTCGCGTTTTTTGGCTGGTATGCGTGGTGCGAACAGAAGTCACAAGGCCACACCGTAGTGATACAAAAGAAGAAACTGAGGGTTATCTTGTTGGATAGCCCCTTCTATGGTTTTTCTTGTTTAGTGAACTTGCATTTAGGGTAGGACCTAGGGACCTAGGATGCTTCTGGATGGTGACAGTCCCAAGGATCTGGATCAACATCTCTACACCCTGACCCCATGTGCCTGATCTTCGCTGGTGGGTTTCGCATCGTCTGCAGATGTGCCAGCCTTGCAGGGAAACAGAAAGCAACATGAGGTGAAGAAATGAAAGTCCTTGTCTTGAAAATGGTTGACTTTCGCTCATGCCTTCCAATGCCATTCTTGGGACCGTTCCGTTTTTTGGCGGGTATGCGTGGTGCAAACAGAAGTCCCAAGGCCACACCGTCGTGATACAAAAGAAGAAACTGAGGGTTATCTTGTTGGATAGCCCCCTTCTATGGTTTTTCTTGTTTAGGGAGCTTGCATTTAGGGTAGGACCTAGGGACCTAGGATGCTTCTGGATGGTGACAGTGCCAAGGATCTGGATCAACATCTCTACACCCTGACCCCATGTGCCTGATCTTCGCTGGTGGGTTTCGCATCCTCTGCAGATGTGCCAGCCTTGCAGGGAAACAGAAAACAACATGAGGTGAAGAAATGAAAGTCCTTGTCTTGAAAATGGTTGACTTTCGCCAAAAGACTCATGCCCTCCGGGTTTAATTTTGTGCCCCCGATTCTTGTGTTGCACTGGTTGCCACTGGTGCAGTGGTTTAACCTGCCGCCGGAATCATGGGAGACCTACAAGGAAGTGAGATGTGATGTGGTAATGGGTATCCCCCAAGTCTTTTGGGGTCTGTACGTTCAAGGGTCAAGTTCAATTTCTGTGCCCCCACTTCCGGACATGGACCTCATCAGGTTGTTTGTCGTCCTGGTCCTGGTTTCCTTGTTCATCGTCCTTTTGATCATCGTCCTTTTGTTCATCGTCCTTTTGTTCATCGTCCTTTTGATCATCGTCCTTTTGTTCATCGTCCTCTTGATCTTCGCCTCGGGCAAGAGAGTTCAAGCATAAGGATGGTGATGATGACGATGATGATGATGACGACGATGATGATGATGATGACGATGACGATGGCGATGGCGATGGTCACGATGGTGATGTCGGCGAAGACAATGATCAAAATGGCGATGTTGATGACGATGTTGATGACGATGGTGCAAGTGATGATGAAAATTATGATGATGAAAATGGTGATGATGAAAATGGTGATGATGATGATGATGATGATAATGATGAAGTTATTGATGTTCATGATGGCGGTGACAATGATGACAATGTTGATGTTCAGATAATGGTCATGATGACGGTGGCAATGACGACGACGACGACGACGGCGACGACGACGACGACGACGACGACGATGACGACGACGATGATGATGATGATGATGGTGATGATGATGATGATGATGATGATGATGATGATGATGATGGAATGGCGATGGCGATGAGGAGGAGGAGGAGGAGGAGGAGAAAGAGGAGCATGGGAATGAGGATGAGGATGAGGATGAGAAAGGTGATTGTGACGATGATGATGATGATGTTGTTGATGATGATGATCATGATGATCATGACAACCATGGTGATCGTGATGATGATGATGGTGATGATGATGATGATGATGGCCATGATGGTGATGATGATGATGATGATGATTTTGATGATGATGATGATGATGATGATGATGATGATGATGAAGATGATGATGATGATGATGATGACGATGATGATGGCGATCATGGCGGCTATGGCGATCATGGCGATCAAAGCGATCATGGGGACCATGCCGATCATGGCGATCATGGCGATCAAAGCAATCAAAGCGATCCTGGGGACCATGGCGATCATGGCGATCATGGCGATCATGGCGATCATGGCGATCATGGCGATGATGGCGATGATGGCGATGATGGCGGTGATGCAGATGATGCAGATGATGGTGATGATGGCGATGATGGCGATGACAGCGGTGACGACGGTAATAGCGATGATGCAGATGATGCAGATGATGCAGATGATGCAGATGATGCAGATGATGCAGATGATGCAGATGGTGCAGATGATGGAGATGATAGTGATGATAGTGATGATGGTGTTCCTCTAATTCCCGGCAAAGTACTCTTTTCGGCATCTGGCTCGGGCTGGGAGAGGCCACTCTGTTCGTCCTGGTCGTCCTTGTCCTTCTCAAATTCCTCGTTCTGATCTTTGTCAAAGGGGTCATCCTCCTCCTCTCGGGGCTTCTCGTCATCGTCATCGGGGTTCTGTTGCTTCTCCTGATCTCAGCAGCACCCTAAATTCATGGTGCTGACCTCTGGGTGGAAGAGATGCACGGCAAAAAAAATGATCACCAAGAATCAACCACATGCCTGTCACGTTGATGATAAAGATGGTTTGGTTTATTTGGATCATCACTCAGAAGCCAAGTTGAACATCAGCTGTGGTTAGAAGCTATCAGTCACCTATAACTCATAGGGAATAACCTCACAGGGGGTTGTAAGCCATTTAATAGAAAACTAGAGCTCCTCATCGTCATCATCCTTCTCTTTCTGGTCATCTTCATCCTCAAAATGCTGCTTACCTTGTTGATCTTGGTCCTCATTGCCCAGCTGATCTTGGTCGTCCGCATCCTTGCTTCTTTGCGCAAGGTTGTCGTCATTTTCTTGCTCTCTCTGGTTGCTGTAGGGTTTCCTCAGCCAATGGGTGATCAAGACCCCGGCACGCTGGTGAACATCAAACAATAGCTCGAAAAGGCATCATCCCGTGAAACAGACATCACATTACACCCGGCAAGAGGCCCCAAACAGTGTGGAGGGTAGGAGGACAATGTAAGGAGCCCTATATAAAGGATACCACCAGGACCTCTTCAAGAGCTTCCCACGAGGAACTTTACAAGATCGTGCAAAGGCCTCTGTCAACGTTTAACCAGGATCTCCACAAGATCTTTTCACAAGGAATTGTACAAGACGTGGGCCAAGATCCCCGAAACAAATCTCACAAGACCGTCATAAAAGGACCTGCTGCTGCTGCTGGGGCGGATCGCACAAGATCTTGATACAAGAACCTCCCAAGAGCCTTCCACAAGAGCTTTCACACAAGCACCTCTAAGACATGGCATCTGCAAGATCTTCACGCAAGGACCTCTTAGAGAGGACCCCACCAGGATCTCCACAAGATCCTCCCTCTCAGAGAGGAATGTAGAGAGGAATGTGGCAGGATCTCCGCAAGAACCCATGTATGTGAGAATTGCGCATCGAAAATGCACATGGACATCTCATAAGAACAATTCTATGCGAGAATTTGCAGGAAAATGCCGGGGCCCAAAACTTTGGCGCACACTTTGTTTGAGCCTGTGCCGTCGAAACACACATGGACATCTCACAAGAGCAGTTTTATACGAGAATTTACCGGAAATGCCAGGGCCCGAAACTTAGGCGCACACTTTGTGCGAGCCTGCGCGGTCGAAATGCACACGCACATCTCACAAAAGAATTTCGCGCAAGAATTTATAGAGAAAACGCCGGGGTCCAAAACTTAGGCGCACACTTTGGTGCAAGCCTGCACAATCGAAATGCACATGGACCTCTCACAAGCCTATGCGAGAATTTACAGGAAAGAGGCCAAGGCCCAGAACTTAGGCGCACATTTTGTGCCGGCCTGCGCAATCGAAATGCGCATGGTCATCTCACAAGAGCAGTTTTATACGAGAATTTACCGGAAATGCCAGGGCCCGAAACTTAGGCGCACACTTTGTGCGAGCCTGCGCGGTCGAAATGCACACGCACATCTCACAAAAGAATTTCGCGCAAGAATTTATAGAGAAAACGCCGGGGTCCAAAACTTAGGCGCACACTTTGGTGCAAGCCTGCACAATCGAAATGCACATGGACCTCTCACAAGCCTATGCGAGAATTTACAGGAAAGAGGCCAAGGCCCAGAACTTAGGCGCACATTTTGTGCCGGCCTGCGCAATCGAAATGCGCATGGTCATCTCACAAGAGCCATCTTTGGAGAATTGACAAGAAAAATGCCGGGCCCCAAGGCCGGGACAACACCCTTACCCACATCTGGCGCGAGCGTGCGCAATCAAAATGCACATGGACATCTCAAAAGAACATTTTTATGCAAGAATCTGCAGGAAAATAGCCGGGGCCCAGAAGTTGGCCGCACACTTTCTACAAGCCTGCACAGTCGACATGCAATGGACATCTGACAAGAGCCACTTTATGCAAGAATTTCCAGGAAAAATGCCGCGTCTCAAAACCCGGAAAAACTCGTGGCGCAGACCGTGCCGACTTTGTGCGAGCTTGCGCAATCAAAATGGACATGGACATCTCACAAGAGCAATTTTATGCGAGAATTTAAAAAAAGGCCGCAACCCAGATGGAGCACCCCTCAAACCCCGGCCTTTACTCCTACCGTAAAAACCCCTCAGTGTGGACACATGTGGACACACTATTTGGGGAAAAGTACGTTTTGACCCGTCCCTATGTGTTTTCAACGGAAACCAGACCCCGGGGCGAAAGGCCTGTGTTGCACCAACAGCCGAGACAAAAGGAATCAGCAACTGCCATTCGAAAACACGCCTCAGAACACCTCAGAAACCCTGCAAGGATCCTGGCTCTCTGGATCTACTTCGGCACCTCTAAGGTGCCCCGAAAGGTCACACCCCAGCACTATTGAGAAGGCAAGGTTCTCCCCTTCTCCTGGCTGTTCCTGACGCCCGTACCGCAAAGATTGGGATTTGAATTGCCAAAAAATCGGATGACCAAAAACAAAGATTTCACCCACAAAACTGCCCATTGCCCTCCAACACTCTCAATTTTTTTCAGGCCGTTTTGGGGTCCTTCGTGGCCATCTGCAGCCCACCAAAGCTGGCTGCATCGCTGGATGAGGCCCCCGCCGCCGCAGCGCGCGGCGGCAGCGGCATCTCGCTGGGCGAGGGGAACATCACTACCTTCACCAACACCACAAAGAGGAAGCAAACCCCAACCGCCAACATGGCCGTAGTCTTCGTATCTGAGCGGAGAAGTCTGAATTTTGGAGCTTGGAGATATCTGGATGATGGCGAATTTTGGGAAGTTGGAGGCTGGAGATGTTTGAAGGCTTGAAAACGCTTGGAAGGTCGATGGGTGGTGATTGTGCCCAACCAATTTTGGGATGAAACCGATGATGCACGAAGCACTGCTGTTGTGTTAGCAGCAAGAAGTGGGATAAGGTCATAAGTAATACCTGATAGTATAGATACAATTTTAAAAATCGCGTATATAAATATTTATTATGTATATACATATACATGTATATATATATATACCACACTTTATATATGTTATAAACAATGTGTATAATATATATATACATATATACACACACACATATTTATATGTATATATAACATATATATATATGTATATGTGTGCGTGTGTGTGTGTGTACAGTATAATATAAGATTTGATTTGATTTAAAATTATATTATGCCATATTTTGTATGTTATACTATTTTATATTAAATTTATCCCAGCAATGCCAAGAATATGATAGGATATACAGTAATAGGCACATGTTGGCCACGATTATCACAAATGTATAACCAACAGCACAAGGATTACCAACACAACCAGCTATCTTGCACTGCAAGTATCTTTCCAGCTGAGGTTTATGCATGTCTGTTTCTTGTAAGCCTGTAAGGCTGGGATTGCATGGATGTGCATGGCCACTTCCACCAATGCCATTGGCATTGCTGACCGGCCACTCCGTTAATCCACTGCACCCAACAGAACCAGATGGAACCAGGGCGCTGAGCTTGATGCCAAAAGGGAATTCTTCATCGATGTCATGGCTTGTTTGCCCTTTCTTTGGCCTGGTCATTGCTGAGAGGTGCTGAGACGTGCGGGATCCTAAGCCGCGGCACCTCTGGATGCAACTGCGGCTATGAGAATAGCAACACCATGGCCATTGGGCCATGGCTGTGGGGGGTTCACATGTTCGGAACAGGCGGCAAGCCGACTCGCCTCCATCTGCCTCTTAAGAGGTCTTCTTCCTCCTCATAGTTGGCACCCACTCGATTTGGCAATGGCATACCACAGCATGGGCTGCCCGGCTGAGCCCGGCTGAGCCAGTGATCTGAAGGCCGGTAGGCCACTTGTGCTGTCACTGGTAAGCCACGGTTGCGGCGGAGTTGCTGCATTTCGCCGGTAGCAAACACACAGGATCCAACCATATGTCAGCCAATGACAAACTGGTGGGGTTAGGGGTTGAAGGATCCCTGGGTAACCTCTGATTAGAGGGTGTGTCTGAAATTCTCAAAATAGGGTACCTGGGTACCTGCTAAATCCACTAGTTAACGGATCATGTTTCGGGGTTCCAAACCATCACCATCCACCACCCCAAGCACCGAACTCTGACCCGTTGCTTGTTAGGGTCGGCACGCGCCAGGTGGCAGCAGGGCTACCACCATTAGGATGCTTCCACCCATCTCCTGCGGGCACCGATTGCATTTTTTTTGGGTGACACTACTGGTGCTAACGAGACCGACACCATCTCCCAATGTCAAGGATGATTTCCACAATGTGCCAGGTAAACAACCACTAATCTTCGGACATCCCACCCAGCAGTGACCACGATCACTGTTCTGGATTCCGGGCCATTGCTACTGTAGCCTTCGCTAAATTTGATTGCTACTTGAAGTGCATCCTCTGAAACTGTGCGGCTCTGCGTCTGTGGATTTCAAGCTTGTGGATGCTCCAAGAAGGTGGTAAGGTGGTAGCGGAGAGCCAAAAACTGAGGCCAGTGAATCACCGCCAGTGAATGGTCTTCAGTATCAGCCCATATTATTGGGGATTTTTGGGGGGGCTTGCCATCTGTGCCCCACTTGCGACGTTCACTTGGCCACCTCTGCCCCCGGTCCTTCAGCATATCGCGGAAGGCTCCCAGTGGCATCAGCATGATGCAAACCTGCAGAAAAGTAGAAGAACAACACCTGCAGACAGATGGTGATGTAATGATATACCCTCCAATAAACTAGCAGCAGCATAGATATAGAAAATTCACAATTCACCATTTGTGTAAATCACGTCCACGGAAAACAGACATAGATGTCCATTTCGCGTTTTGTATGTTCACAGGAGGCACAGGCTATATCCATGGTCACCCTCTGAGATCCGGGCGACAGCAAGGCATATGAGCGGATCCTGCAAAGTTTCCTGCAGGAACTTCTCCCAGGCCTTCAGCTCACCTGGCGAACTTCCCCCGATGGATGTCATGGATGTCATGGATGGGCCCATGTCTTGGAGATCACCCGGAGCAAAAATGCCCATGATCGATTCTTCCACTAATCTATTGGTTGATTTATCTGTTATCTGTTATTACTGTTATATTATGCTACTCTCTCTCTCTCTCTCTCTCCTACTTAGGTCCCACTTATTACTAAAGCGTATTGTTCGAAGTCTACTCTACATGCGAATTGCTGTCATATTCCTACTCCACCGGAGTTCACTATTAACTTACTGTTAGATTCGAGTCGTCTCTCCCTCACTGTGTCCCTTTTTTTCCTCAAGGGCTTCGCCACATCCAACGGTCCAACGGCAGCCGTCCTCACTTCATCCTGGCCGCACGGTCCTCGATGATGCTCAGCTTGATACCTTGGCCCTTGGGCAGCGAGATCCAAGGCTTCTGGCCGTCACCTAAGAGGTGGTGAATCGCTTCAGCCTCACCAAACACGGATGAACATGAGTTGTATCAGTTATATGGGTTATGTAATATGGATGAACTTATAACTTATAACATCTTATAAATTATAATCCGTATATATATATACACAGAGAGAGAGAGATAGATATATATATATACACTTATTTATTTATTTATAATGTGTATTATATATATATATATCTCTTTGTGTGTACGTGCCCCAAAAATGACCCTAAAACTCTAGTTGTGTATGGCGATCTCCATCCAGTCACCGATGACAAAGACGTTCTCCAGTCGAGTGTTGAAGGTGTGTCCCATGGCGTCCTTGACGTGCACCATTTCCTACGTCAAGGATGACCTCAAAATACGAAATCTTCCCAGATCCCCTATTTGTTTGGTGGAATGGGTGAGAAAAGACATGGGAAAGACTGTCCAAAACTCAGCAGAAGTGTCGAAGGAGCCCGGGTGCTTCTCTTCATGGGTGATGGTTCCTACGCGGCCAATGTTGTTTCCGCCGCTGATCATCACCAGGTTGCCCGTCTCAAACTTCACATGATCTAAGATCTTGCCCGTCTCCAAGTTTAACCTGGAGAAATTGATTTGTCAGTTCACCCAATGGAATCCCTTGGCTTTTCACACCCCAAAGAGCTGTTGTTGATGGATGTTCATCCCAAATATGGATAATATGGCAACTTGACATCTTGATATTCTTGATCATCAAACCCCCATTAGGCTCCCATGAAACCACCATTTCTGATGGTTCAATGGCTTGCAAAAATCCCCATGAATCCATAGGAGATCGGTGACTAAAAACGGCTCCCCACCTCACGGTGTCGTGTGCCTTGACGTCTGGGTCGGGATAGCGCACAGTCCGACCATCGTGCGTCACCGCGTAGGGGATGCCACGGGGACCTCGCATGACCTTCTTCACACGGCACAGCTTGTAGTTGGCCTCCTCTTTCGCCACCTGGAAATGGCGAAAGTTGCCGATGACTGTGGTGTTTTTTTTTGGGATCGAACATGATGATCAAAAATGCGGAGATGATGGGATATGTACAATGTACACCTGTAATGCCATAGAAGGACATAACATGTTACTGAGATATTTTCATGCGAACAGAAAGGGATTCCATGGGGGAACTGACCCATTCCCACCTTGTGGAGCATGAATCGGCCTTTGGTGTTGTATAGAAGTCGGAAATTCTCCTTGGTCTTCTCAATCTGCACCACATCCATGAAACCTGCGGGGTAGAACATGTCGCTGCGGACCTTTCCGTCCACTTTGATCAAGCGCTGCATGACGATCATCTTCACCTCACGGTAGGTCAGGGCATACTTCAGGCGCTGCCGCAACATGACAATCAGGGGAAGGCACTCACGCAGTTTGTGCGGACCAGCGTTTGGCTTGGGAGCCCATCGACCACGGAGCTTATCCAACATCCACTGCTTGGGCGCATACATGCGCTTCAAGTGCTTGATGATGCCGCGCGCCATGATTCTTTTCGCGCGAACTCAAAGTCGAACTCAGCCAAGACCGAGGCCCGGAGGCGTTTTGTCAGTGATTCAGCCCTTGAACCAAAATGGCTACGGCGGTTACGGAGCTCACAGGACTCAGAACCTCATTCGACTCATGTTCGCCGTGGTGCCTCCATTTTTGGACAAACCCACATAAAATGATCATGATTGTTGGAAAAGGCCATCTCATAAATATACCCGGTAGACAAACATGGCGTGCCGGAAAATTCCCCAATTATAGGTCAATGATTTCCCAGCTCTAAACCTCGATGGCTAGTTCGAGGATATTCCATTGCCATATGATTTTTCTGTTGTTTTTTCTAGCTATAAACCTCCAAGTTGATTGTCGCTCTGATAGTCCATGTTCCATCATTTTCCCATGATTTTTTCAGCATTTCTGGCAAATGCCACTAGGTTTTGCACCATAAAATACGGCCAAAACGAGCGCCTGCTTCACCCAGCGGTAGCTGCTCCATCAGTAGCTGGAGCCGCTGCTCCATGGCGGCTACCAGGCGTGACATGGCACCGTGGCAGCTGGGAGAAGTGGAGATAACTGTTGGAATCTTCGGTTTTGGTGGCCTGTTGCGACCAAAAAAAATTGGGGATCCGTCTCAATGGTGGTCTGCATGCCAAAGTTGGATATGATACATGTCGTTTTTCTAAAGCAATGCATCTATTTTGTAGTGGAGGTGAACCTATTAACGCTGTGGTATAAGGTAGGTGTGGTATTCATTGTGAGTCTCAAGTGGTTAACCTGTGAGGTTTCATTTTGGGCGGCCTTGCAAAGCGGTTTCATTTTGGGTATTTGTCGATATGACAACACCATGCAACACCCCCAAAGCTTCTCACGGAAGTCACGACTGGGAAATCGCAGCCAGTGTCGTGCCGTGAAATGTCTGGAGGGCACCCAAAGGGGTGTGACAAGCATGAAAAAACAGACCCAAATTCAAATACCAGAGCCCACTTTTTTGGGGGTTCACTTTTCTATCATTTATCATTCTGCAAAGCGCAAAAGCTGAGCTCCATGAGCCAAAATGCTATGGATCGTCTGCCTATCAGCCTGGCAACTGGGAGGCTACAATTCAGCTTGCTGGGAACAGCCTTTGAACCTTTTCTCGGGGGAAAAACGTTGGAAGCACGGCCATCCAATTGTTGAAACCCAAACTAATCTGTGAAGCCACACACTGCAAAAAGTGATGCACAATTGAATACATAGACAAATGCAAGATGAATAAATGCATCAATCATTTCATACCAAATTATATAGATATACAGATATGATATGGTTATGATTTCATAGATATTGAGCATAAAATGCATAAATTCATAAATATGATGCACATATACTTATATACATATATATACATATACATATATACATATATAACTAACTACACAGTATGGATATAGACATAGGTGCGGCACGCGCAGCACGGCGGAACTTTTCACTGCGTTCTTCGCCCATTTCTTGCGAAAGGTGCCACCTGCAGCCCAGCCCAGGACGGTCCACATCTAAGCCGCTTCAGCTTGGACCACGAGACCAGCTGCGTCGTCCTCAGCCGGGGCAATGCCAGCGCACCTGGTGGATATATGTGGATATACTATATTACTATACATAAATCATCAAAACATAGTTTGGTTTTGATAGGATGCTATGTAGAATATTGTATGTAGGATATGAGGTTCCAGATATGTAGCCCTCACAAAACAAGTCATTCATACATCTATCTGTCTGTCTGTCTGTCTGTCTGTCGGTCCGTCCGTCTGTCTGTCTGTCTGTCTGTGTCTGTCTGTCCGTCCATCCATCCATCCATCCATCTGTGTGTGTGTGTGAAATGTTCCCCGAATAAAATTGGAAGGCCACAATTCAAAATCCACCACTCAAGAGTCTGTTGGGCGTTTTCATTTGTTACGGAAGGGATTGCTTTGACCAGGTTATCCAGGTTGGCCCCCATGGGTTAGTGGTTTTTGACGTGTAAAGTTTATGATGCTTTAGGAGTTGGAGAAGACACAGTGACGAAATCAACAGCAGTTACTATATAGATATTTCATGATATTTCTACCAAATTATTGTACTTCGGCGTGTCCTTCCAAATCCACTGGCTCGTCCTAATTGTTCTGAGAATCGATGGCGTGTTGTCGGAGCTTGGACACGTGTCTTCATTGTGGAGCCCAGACTAGGCAAGAGATTCCACTCTGGGTTTCTGTGAAAATATGATACGCATTGATACGTCAGTACCTCAAATTGCTTGGTTTATTAAAGTTTATCAACAGTTTATCACTTTCCCCAGTGATGGCCATGTGTGGTCCTCGAAGCCTCTGAGGGCACGGCGGCAGTACATCACCAGCTCTGGGCCCTGTCCTGGAGACTGCGCTGACGCAAGCGTTGTGGGATGAAATGCTTCTAAAGCCGTGACCCCAGTGAAAGTCATTTATGACAAGTGGTAACTACGGGTTTTTTGGGTCCTCTAGTTTCGGTAAGCCCCAAATATCGTCTAGATTCGTCTAGTTTAGTTGCTGATCTATTCTTACCTTCAGTTAAACTCCCAGTGATTGAGCTACCTCGGTGTCAAAAAAGGCCTCTCAACTGAGAAAAACACCTTTCCGGGAAAGCAAAGGTAGAATAGAAGTTCTCACCAAATTGAACCTGACGCCGCCTGATGCCCCTCTTGAAAATGACAGATTCCCATTGCCAATCATAGCTACCCAAGGGTATCTGAGCCCAGGTCTGTACACAAAGGCTCGGCCCACCCCGCACCCTTCTGGGCGTCAAACTGAACTGCTCCAGCGAAAAAACCTTAGTGAGGTGAAACACGCGATTAACCATGGATTGGAAGGAGCTCCGATGAATAGCAACGAGGGTAACTTTGGGCTACTCAAACAAATTGTATCTAGTTGCCGTACTTTACCTATTGAAATTGTGATTTTCCATAGCCATGTTATATTACAAGACGGTATACAACTCTTGATTAGAGCAAGCATGTGGCCGAATGTGGCCTACAGTCATGACGAGATGTTTCTCCAAGTCCTGAATTCATTCTTGGGGCGTCCCAGTTTAACCCACGCCCATTCCTAAATGATTCCAGACGTCATCCTCACCCGCGGCACCCCTCTTTTTGAACCCACGCGTTCGCTCTGAGCTGCCCAATCTTCAGCAACCAGCGGCCCATACTAAACAGCGGCCATGATGAATCAGCGCGGGAAAATCGATCGTGCTGTACAGGCAGATGACCACCAGCCGGGAAGCTCCAGAGAGCTCTTGCATCTGGAGCCTCCCAACCATCTCCTGATCTCACCCAGGGGCTGTACAGAAACCAATCAGAATTGGCCAAATTCACAACTGCCCAGCTGCCTGAGAGCATGTCCATGGGCTTCTCCGAAGTTTTGGGCACGTCCACTTCAGATCAGGAAGATTCACGGAGTGATTTGTGATAAGCATAGCATTGCAGAAAAATGCAGAGATTGTCAGCCATGAGTCACCAACGTCACCAACTCCAATTCTCAAAGGATCATGGTCCTCCCCTGTGATTTCTTGAGAAAATTCTCAAATCCCGAGATGCTCAAAACCGTTTCAACCAGCAATCGAGTCCCAGGAACCTCTCACCAAAGTAGCCAGCAGTGAAGACATCCATCACTACCTGAAGCCGTCGCCATTTGCACCGATTTCGATGGATCAACCCGGATGGATCAACAGTGGGGCTACCATGGGCTACCCAGTTCTGACACTTGCTGATGGAAGAAAAAGCCCCTCCATTTTTGAGAAACCCTGGAATAACATCCAAGGCTCAACTGGTCCGAGCATCTCTCTTCTCAGAATCTCTGAGAATCTGTGGAACGTGAAGCTCCAAAGAATCAGCGTGGATATGGAAAAGCCGTGTTTTCCCTTGAAAATGATCGATTAGAATTAGAATGATGCATTGTCCATATCGTCAATTCGCGGCCAGGTAAATGTTCTTAGGGCACCCTGTGGACCATCCCCAATGTGACCATAATATTTTGGCCGTGTAAACCATCAAAATATAGGGGGTTGATCATTGCTATTCTATCTTTACTAACATTATGGTTGTCCCAACCTAGGAGGGTCCTGCAAATTCTCCCAATTGAACCAATTCTGGGACCTCAGTTGATCTACAGTAAATCTTCCACATGTCCGAGCCACTGTCGCAGGTCAGCCGACGCCTGGTAGAACCTGGGGCGTCGCTGGAAATCAGAAATCGCTGGGTTTGTTGTGGGGAGAGCCTAAACAAACCCATGGATTTTTACTAGTCCAACATTGTTTTCCTGTGCGTCTTCCTTGAAACCAATTCTAAGTCAGGTTTCCAAGCCTGACTAACACTTTTGCTGTTGGAGAGTGATGCCACAAGCGCAGTAGAAACATATGATGGGCAAATGGTTACATAACCCTCTGGCTTGATGTACCGTAGATATCGAGTTTCTCTCTCAAACTATTTTTGGCATCTTCTTTAAAGTCATTTAGCTTGACCCATCCGAACGTTTGGCATGGGTCTGTGCAATCTATAACATCTACGGTCTACATTCCAAAAATATGATCCCCGCTCTTTTTGGTCCGCATCGGATTCAGCACCTCGAAAGCTGAATCGGTGTTGGTTCCCTTTCTTGATGGCCTCCCCTTTACAATACCGATACCCTCTGGTAAACTAACATAACTATGGAAAATCACCATGCTATTAATGGGTAAATCCACTATTTCTATGGCCATTTTCAATAGCTATGTTAGTTTACCAAAGGGTAACCAACACATAGCCATCATTCTCATCATTTCTGATCAACGGTAACATCGCAGACCATCCACCCTGGGCTCACCAAAAAGCACCCAGCCAGTCACCCAGCGACCCAGGTCAGACGTCTTGCAGCAAACGACCCCCAAGAAGAAACTTGCCAAGACCTTGAAGTCCTGCCACCGGAAGCCGTAGTCATACAGGAAGGCGTAGAAGCCACGATGGGAATTGGGACATTCATGATCATGGGGGGCCAAGAAATATAAGAAATATTTATAATATATATATATATATTATATTATATTATTATTATTATATTATATATATATATATATAATTTATATACACAGGTTTATGCTAAAACACCTGATGGCGATGATCCAACTGACTGAGGTGACCATCAGATCATCCCAATGGGGCCAAAAAATTTCGGGGTGGATTTCTGTTGAAAGGTACTACAGTACCAGTACCTACCAATATAATTTTTATAGGGGATACCCAACATGATAATCATGATATGGGAAGATATGGGAAGCGGAAAAGCTTCCACGAAGCTTCAAGGGATCGTTTCCATCTGGCCTCTTGAATCATCTCGAATCTGTTGAATCTAGGAGCCTGTCATTCATATTAGCTCCCTGCAGGTCGCCGTCCTGTGCAGCGGCACAGGCGCCATACTCGGCGCTGGCACAAATGGGACCTGAAGAATTTCAGTCCAGGTCAATGGCCCTTCGGATCGTCACAATGGGTACACAAATTCTCCAGCAACTCGTTTCAGATCAAAGGATCATGACTATGGGGTGCGAAAATACAGCCAGCATATCCTCAATCTGTTCAATCTATTCACCATGTTCTTCCAGCCGCTGACATCTCTGGGGCCGGACATCGACTAATGATCCCCGTGCTGGTCAGGAAGGAGATGCTGACGGCTGCCAAGGTGATTGCGAGGAGAAATTGCAGCCTCAACGACAGGGGAGACAGTGACCGTTATAGCAGCTGCCGTTTTTTGGGCAACCCCCCGAAAACATGCGGAAGATGTACAGTAAAATTAATCAAGGTAAGTCACTTTGTCTACCATTTTGAAGGATTACTACTATATATATATACATGTAATTCACATTATATCAAATTCACATTATACTATGACTATAACCACCAGTTTGTTTTTTCTTGGCTCTGGAATGCTGGTTCCCAAACAGCTTGGTTGAAATCGTGAAATGTGGTGAAAAACTAACCCAGGGTTCATCATGGCAGTCTTACCACCCAAAAAAAACATTGGTATTATATATATATACTTTGGTTGATATTTGCCGGATGTGCAACGTGCTATTACAATTGCAACCTTCTGAGAGTACATGAAAATAATTCGTTTCTTGCGACCCAGCAGAGCTCGTTGCATCTGCCGCGCCCGAGTTTGAGAAAACACCAAGCGTGTATAGTCAGCATTTGTCCCTACACTTTTGGGGGGTAGTTCAACCTGTCCGCTTGCATAAAATTGACTCCGTCTGTCAAGGCAAGCACTACTTGGCCGCATCGAAAACCCCAGTAACCGTCAGTAACCATCACTAACCAGTGCTTTTTCGGGCATCACCTCCCGCTACATCCCCAGATTCTTCGTGAAGGCACATCCAGGACGACATGCTGTCCATCTCCCATCTCCTCAGGGCCAAGGAGTCCATAAAACGAACCTGCCAGGATGGTGATGGATAATCATGTAATGTCATGTAGATATGAAATGATATGGCCATCTAAACAGACCAGCAGTATCTAAACTGCCCTGAGTTTTGGAAGTCATCAATTTCACGACCGGCCTCGGGAAGTGCCCTGGCCCCGCGACACGCGGCTTCTTCAGTGCTAGGAGGGGTGTCGCGGCTTGAACCAGTTGGAAACTGGACAGCTCTTGCGCTCTTGTCGGACATGGACACCCTCCCCTCACCTTCAAAATGAGGACCATGTTGTGAACATAATCACAAAATATCTACCAAAGAAATGGTCGAAATCATCCCGAAATGGTAGGTTCATGGCATTGGGCTGGCATTTTTTGCTTTCCAAATCAAGTCCTGTGACTTAACCAAGACCGCCACGGGCCACGGAGACAGCATCGAAGTGGAACGTGGTGGGATCCCAAGCCACACCGACCTGGGCACCCGGAAATCGTCGAAATCAATGGTGGCTTTGTCCATTGCCATGTTTGAAACCAGAGGGTGTCTAAAATATCTAAAATCCAAACCCACCAAGCTTTGTGTGTGGGAAGATGTGTTTTTAGGAAATGAATGGGACTCCAAGAATAATGGCAAACCATGACAAACCGTCACCTTTCCCCGCAACACCTCGGGATGGTGTGGCATGGTCCGGCATGGTGCTCTGAGCATCCACACCCCTCCAGTTCCTCAAACTTCCAAGCTGACACCTGTGGTCCCAGTTTCAGGTCATGGACATCTAAAGGTAGCAAGCACCACAATACTGTTTCCAATTATGTTCGGCTGACTCCTGCAATGGCTCTTAAGGGTCCCTTAAGATCCCGCTCAAGAAATCGTGATCCCCATTTGATCCCCTGTTCGCGATATTGACCAACAAGTTGTGACTTCCCCACGTGCTTGCAGCCTCAAGCCAGTTTCCAAGCTAGCGAAGTTGACCCTAAGGTTTTGATATTTCCGGGAAAACCATGGAAAACCTATAAGAAATCATTGTTTTCTACCATCAAATAGAGGGGTTTCCTTCATCCCAACTTGTGGAGTCGACACCTGCTCTTCAAGAACCTGAGGCGTTTCCCCGGCAGTTGCTCCTGGAATTCGCTATCTTTTAGAGATAGGCTGCTCCCAGCGGCCTCAATAAAAACGGGGAGCAAACTTGCTCAATAAAGGGGCAAAATGAACCGTTTACCATGTTTACCGGCTTCTGGCTGTGATTGACCTATATTCAGTTGGAGCAAGCCTGTGGTGTGTTGGGAAAGCAACAGACTGAAAACAGCAAAACAGCATTAACCCAGCAGTTCGGAATCTACAATGATCCCAGATCCCTGGCTTTCGCTAGACATCCTGAAAAATTCCGAATGAACCGCACCGCTTTGTCGGGCTGGTATGATCCAGCAGTCCCAAAGAGTTCACCACTGGGTTTCATCACTTCATAGCAGTGTCAAATACGATTCCCCCAGTTGAGTATGATCTCAACAAAAAATGATAGGAATTGGAAGGTACAATCCTATCAAACTAATCATCAACAAGAGGTTCGATGAGACCAGCCCCACCCTCCGCTGTCGAGCAGCGCCGGAAGTGGTCGCACGGCATCGACAACCGGCCGCGCATGCGGCGCATGCGGCGCATGGGCCTCAGCCACGGCGTGATGCGATCTGATGTATGAATACAAGGCGACGCCCAAAGTTAATAGGAGTGTTATAGGTTGGTATATTACCCACAACTATAGGTATGAAATGGTATAAATATAATCACCCCAAACTCCAGTTAACCCCTTTTACACACCAACTTAGCTAATTATGGGGCACCAGCTTGTACCCATCAATGAGCTGAAAGCTGGCATTTTTTAATTGCAATACATGTGGTGCTCCTGCAGAGGGTTGCTTCTGCATTGAAAGAATTGTGGTTGCCGCAATGAAATGGAACAACAACACGACTGGCTTGGGTTGGGGGTGCAGCTATAGAAAGCGGAAGCCACATGTATGCAGACGTCAACATCAAGAGGATTGCTGGATTGCCCTTTCAATGTGTTCAGTCGCGAATCGCCGAATCGCGGCTCAATGTATGCTTTGACACTAACGAATCAAATGAAGCTAGTCTTGCTCTGTAATTTGCAAGTGGGTTTTTGGATGTTTTTCTGGCATCGTGATTTGGTGACTGTTGGAGAAGACTATGACTATTCCCCCGGGGCCGGGTGTCGACATGGGCGTGATAGAGGCTGGATGAAGCCCATGACGACCCCAAGCGTTGGGTCCCTGTGCTCCTTAAGCCACTTTATAGACTTCATTGATTGCTTCATGTTTGAATGAAATTTGTCATAAAGTCCAAACAGTCAAAATTACACCGGCATAGACCCCAGATAGAAAAGGTTGGAACTGATGGTTCCCAACGTGGGAACCAAAGGTTACCATGGCAAGGAACTGCCGGTTCCCAGACCTTGAAACTTAGGGTTCCCAACCTGGGAACCAGAGGTTGCCATTGCAAGGAATTGCTGGTTCCCAGAAGTTAGAATTTATGTTTTCGAAGATAAGCAACTATTATTGTAAGGAATTGCCGGTTGCGAAAGCTTGAAACTCATGGTTCCAAAGCTGAAAAAGCATACGTTACCAGTGGAAGGATCTGTTGATTCCAAAAAGTTGGAACTCATGGTTCTTAATGTTGTTTTGTTTTGTTTACTGAGCCGGTAACAGAACCTTTAGTTTTTCTTAATGGACCGGTAGCGGAATGTTTGCGTTCGGCTGCTGGGCCGGCATAAAAATGTTTTTGCACGAAAAAGGTGCATGTTAAAATGATATGAAAACATGTTTTTTACAACTTTATGGTTTTGCTTAATGGACCGGTAAAGAACGCTCGGTTTTGCTTAATGGACCGGTACCGGAATGTTTGCGTTTGGTTCATGGCAAGGAACTGCCGGTTCCCAAAGGTTGGAACTCACGGTTGCCAACGTGGGAACCACAGGTTACCATTGCAAGGAACTGCCGGTTCCCAGAGGTTGGAACTCATGGTTCCCAACCTGGGAACCAGAGGTTACCATTGCAAGCAACTGCCGGTTCCCAGAGGTTGGAACTCATGCTTCCCAACCTGGGAACCATAGGTTACCATTGCAAAGAACTTCCAATTCCTAAAGGTTGGAACTGGTTCCCAACGTGGGAACCAAAGGTTACCATGGCAAGGAACTGCCGGTTCCCAGACCTTGAAACTTACGGTTCCCAACCTGGGAACTAGAGGTTACTATTGCAAGGAATTGCCGGTTCCCAGAAGTTAGAATTTATGTTTTCGAAGCTAAGTGGCTATCATTGTAAGGAACTGCGGGTTCCCAAAGCTTGAAACTCATGGTTCCAAGCCTGAAAAAGTAACGTTACCAGTGGAAGGATCTGTTGACTGCAAAAAGTTAGAACTCATGGTTCTTAATGTTGTTTTGTTTTGTTTACTGAGCCGGTAACAGAACCTTTTGTTTTGCTTAATGGACCGGTAGCGGAATGTTTGCGTTCGGCTGCTGGGCCGGCATAAAAATGTTTTTGCACGAAAAAGGTGCATGTTAAAATGATATGAAAACATTTTCTTTACAACTTTATGGTTTTGCTTAATGGACCGGTAAAGAACGCTCGGTTTTGCTTAATGGACCGGTACCGGAATGTTTGCGTTTGGTTCATGGCAAGGAACTGCCGGTTCCCAAAGGTTGGAACTCACGGTTGCCAACATGGGAACCACAGGTTACCATTGCAAGGAACTGCCGGTTCCCACAGGTTGGAACTCATGGTTCCCAACCTGGGAACCAGAGGTTACCATTGCAAGCAACTGCTGGTTCCCAGAGGTTGGAACTCATGCTTCCCAACCTGGGAACCATAGGTTACCATTGCAAAGAACTTCCAATTCCTAAAGGTTGGAACTGATGGTTCCCAACGTGGGAACCAAAGGTTACCATGGCAAGGAACTGCCGGTTCCCAGACCTTGAAACTTACGGTTCCCAACCTGGGAACCAGAGGTTACCATTGCAAGGAATTGCCGGTTCCCAGAAGTTAGAATTTATGTTTTCGAAGCTAAGCGGCTATCATTGTAAGGAACTGCAGGTTCCCAAAGCTTGAAACTCATGGTTCCAAGATGTTCCAAGCCTGAAAAAGTAACGTTACCACTGGAGGGATCTCTTGATTGCAAAAAGTTAGAACTCATGGTTCTTAATGTTGTTTTGTTTTGTTTACTGAGCCGGTAACAGAACCTTTAGTTTTGCTTAATGGACCGGTAGCGGAATGTTTGCGTTTGGCTGTTGGGCTGGCAAAAAATGTTTTTGCACGAAAAGGTGCATGTTAAAATGATATGAAAACATTTTTTTTACAACTTTATGGTTTTGCTTAATGGACCGGTACAGAACGCTTTGTTTTGCTTAATGGACCGGTACCGGAATGTTTGCGTTTGGTTCATGGCAAGGAACTGCCGGTTTCCAAAGGTTGGAACTCACGGTTGCCAACGTGGGAACCACAGGTTACAGGTTACTATTGCAAGGAACTGCCGGTTCCCAGAGGTTGGAACTCCTGGTTCCCAACTTGGGAACCATGGGTTACCATTGCAAGGAACTGCCGGTTCCCAGAGGTTGGAACTCATGCTTCCCAACCTGGGAACCATAGGTTACCATTGCAAAGAACTTCCGTTTCCTAAAGGTTGGAACTGATGGTTCCCAACGTGGGAACCAAAGGTTACCATGGCAAAGAACTGCCGGTTCCCAGACCTTGAAACTTAGGGTTCCCAACCTGGGAACCAGAGGTTGCCATTGCAAGGAATTGCCGGTTCCCAGAAGTTAGAATTTATGTTTTCGAAGCTAAGCAACTATCATTGTAAGGAATTGCCGGTTGCGAAAGCTTGAAACTCATGGTTCCAAAGCTGAAAAAGCATACGTTACCAGTGGAAGGATCTGTTGATTCCAAAAAGTTGGAAAACTCATGGTTCTTAATGTTGTTTTGTTTTGTTTACTGAGCCGGTAACAGAACCTTTTGTTTTGCTTAATGGACCGGTAAAGAACGCTTTGTTTTGCTTAATGGACCGGTACCAGAATGTTTGCGTTTGGTTCATGGCAAGGAACTGCCGGGTCCCAAAGGTTGGAACTCACGCTTGCCAACGTGGGAACCACAGGTTACCATTGCAAAGAACTGCCGGTTCCCACAGGTTAGAAGTCATGGGGAACCAGAGGTTACCATTGCAAGCAACTGCCGGTTCCCAGAGGTTGGATCTCATGCTTCCCAACCTGGGAACCATAGGCTACCATTGCAAAGAACTTCCAGTTCCTAAAGGTTGGAACTGATGGTTCCCAACGTGGGAACCAAAGGTTACCATGGCAAGGAACTGCCGGTTCCCAGACCTTGAAACTATTGGGAACCGTAGGTTGCCATTGCAAGGAATTGCCGGTTCCCAGAAGTTAGAATTTATGTTTTCGAAGCTAAGCGGCTATCATTGTAAGGAACTGCGGGTTCCCAAAGCTTGAAACTCATGGTTCCAAGCCTGAAAAAGTAACGTTACCAGTGGAAGGATCTGTTGATTGCAAAAAGTTAGAACTCATGGTTCTTAATGTTGTTTTGTTTTGTTTACTGAGCCGGTAACAGAACCTTTTGTTTTGCTTAATGGACCGGTAGCGGAATGTTTGCGTTTGGCTGTTGGGCCGGCATAAAAATGTTTTTGCACGAAAAAGGTGCATGTTAAAATGATATGAAAACAGTTTCTTTACAATTTTATGGTTTTGCTTAATGGACCGGTAAAGAACGCTTTGTTTTGCTTAATGGACCGGTACCGGAATGTTTGCGTTTGGTTCATGGCAAGGAACTGCCGGTTCCCAAAGGTTGGAACTCACGGTTGCCAACGTGGGAACCACAGGTTACCATTGCAAGGAACTGCCGGTTCCCAGAGGTTGGAACTCCTGGTTCCCAACCTGGGAACCATGGGTTACCATTGCAAGGAACTGCCGGTTCCCAGAGGTTGGAACTCATGGTTCCCAACCTGGGAACTAGAGGTTACCATTGCAAAGAACTTCCAATTCCTAAAGGTTGGAACTGATGGTTCCCAACGTGGGAACCAAAGCACAGCACCCTGCACAGCACCTTTCACACCACCCTTCACAGCTCCCTGCACAGCACCTTTGCCAGACTTCGCCACCACAGTCTGGACAGCACCTTGCACAGCACCCTGCACAGCACCCTTGCCAGACTTCGCCACCGCACTACTACAGCACCCTGCACAGCACCCTGCACAGCACCCTGCACAGCCCCCTGCACAGCACCTTTGTCAGCACCCTGCACAGCGCCCTGCACAGCACCCTGCGCAGCACCGTGCACAGCACCTTTGCCAGACTTCGCTCTGGACAGCACCTTTGCCAGACTTCACCACCGCAGTGTGTAAAACACCCTGCACAGCACCCTGCACAGCACCTTTGCCAGACTTCGCCACCGCATCTGGACAGCACCCTGCACAGCACCCTGCACAGCACCCTGCACAGCACCTTTGCCAGACTTCGCCACCGCAGTCTGGACAGCACCCTGCACAGCACCCTGCGCAGCACCCTGCACAGCACCCTGACCCTGTGCAGCACCTTTGCTAGACTTCGCCACCGCAGTCTGGACAGCACCCTGCACAGCACCCTGCACAGCACCCTGCACAGCACCTTTGCCAGACTTCGCCACCGCAGTCTGGACAGCACCCTGCACAGTGCACAGCACCCTGCACAGCACCCTGCACAGCACCTTTGCCAGACTTCGCCACCGCATCTGGACAGCACCCTGCACAGCACCCTGCACAGCACCCTGCACAGCACCTTTGCCAGACTTCGCCACCGCAGCACCCTGCACAGCACCCTGCACAGCACCCTGCACAGCACCCTGCACAGCACCCTGCACAGCACCCTGCTCAAAAGTTCGCCACCGAAGATCCCACCTTTGAGAAGTAAGAACCCCTATAGCTTGCCAGCTATCTGGGGAAAAAAACAAAAACATGAAAACATTAGCATTGTTTTACAGTACCTTTGTAATTAGTTTTGTTTCTTCCTAGCCATGTGGCTGCAAGCTTCGAGAAGACTATACAAGAACGCCCAAAACCACCCACCAGCGCAAGGCTGCAGCCAACCAAATCATTGTCCTATTTCTTGAGTTGGGGATGCCCCTCCAGTCATCAGTTGGCCCGTGGGAAAGGGACCTGGTCTATGACCCAGGCATCACATGAAGAAGTACCGGCTCAACTTCGTTGCGGCTTCGCACCTGGCGGCACGCTGCCAGGCATCCCCAGCATACCGAGGCACTTGGTTTCCCATGTCGATCAACAACTTGGGAGCTGTGAATTGGTCTCTCCCTTGGAATTTTCGATGCGATGGGGTTGCTCGCCCTCCAGGTACCGGGGGGCAAATCCTTTACCATGGTCTGGAGCAACCCTGTATTCTGACTGGACAAAAAGTGTACATTCAAAGGAGCCTTCAAAAATACCATCAACTCCTCGCCTTCAAGTCGCTCAGGACTGCCTTGGTTCATCGGAGGTTTCCTATTCCAACACCTATGAATCCTCGGGCGTGCGGTATCAAGCAAGCCGATCTACGGCCTTACGGCCGTTTACCACCTGCTTTAACCCAACAAATGAGGCAACCTTCACTGCCCTATCTTTTTGACGCGTTTGGAGCTGCTAGGCCATTCTGACTCCAGTTTCCAGAGTCGCAGTAGGCGGCGCCTTGGGTCGGCCATGGTTTGGGAGATTCAACGCAAACACATCAGAAACACAGCTACAACCCAGTGTGCCCTCCAGGAATCCAGCCTTACAATGAAACATCAGAATGGTCAATAGGTGCTTCATCTACCAATGGTGTTCTGTTGCTACGTTTGAATGGAGGGCTAAGCATTCTTCAGGGCAGCTGGTCTGAGTCTGTGGTTTCTAAATGTTTCTAACTCGGTGCAGCATATTCCCCACACAAGGCCCCAACAAATCCAAGAAGCCCTTCCCACAACTTTTCGGTGGAGTTCTTTTGGCGGATTTTTCGGCCAAGGTGACCCCCTTGGGCCCCTGACCCTTTCTTATCCAAACCTTCAGTCGAGTGTCTTGGTCAGTTGGCCCCTCACCGGCGCCGTCTTCTTGGGGCATTGGGCCATGACCTTGGCCGCCGCTCCGCTGCCGACGCTCTCCGGCTTGCCATCTCGCCCATAGGGGATGAAGCCGGCCGGCACCTGGGTGGACCCCCAAAAACAGAGAAAAATCACTGCAAAATAAGACATGGGCAATCACTAGGGCCACATAAACCCACTCACCCCGGGTATGGGTTGAAATTCCCCCATGGCAAAATCGCTGGGAGGGTTGATAAATCTTTAACCCTCCAAACAACCATTCTGAACGGCGGAAGTAGTTAATGGTTCGCTTGGGAAGAGGCCATGTTCTAGCAGATTCTAGCAGAATGTTCAGCCAAGTTGGTTTACAAATGAGTCGCTCGACTAGGGCTTGTGGATTGGCATACTGCATAGGCATAGGAATCACCAAAAGACTGGCAGGACTGTTGTTGCATTGGATGTTACTTGTCTAATACATCGTTTGCATCAGTGAGGGCTTAATCTTGCATGGCCCAAATTGTTTCCCTCTTTTTTGGGGGCCCTTTGGGGGTTGCTATAACTTGCAACCAATAGGGATGGCTGGATTGGATTTCCTCCATGGTGCCTTAATGAGAGGGGCTTGTTGCCAGCAGACATTAGACTTTCCTCATGTTCCTGTATCCTTTATGGGCAATGGTCATAATCTGATATGATGTCTAAAAGGAGGGGGCCTTACCAGAGAAAAGCACATATTCAGCTTCAAAATGCACTCCTCCAGAACAATGGTAGTCATTAGGCTCAAAATGTGGCAAAATCTAAAAAAAAACACCTTGGAAGAGAAAGTAGGATATATCTCCACTTTGAAGCATTATATACAGTAGAAAATGTACGACATAAATAAAATGCAAAATTGCAGTGGATAAGTTCAGGCCATGTAGTTCTCAGAAACAATAGTTATCCTTCCTTTTGTGAGTGTGGTAAACATCATGAAAATGGAACACTTGAGAGCAGGCGGAGGCGGACGAAAGGTAGTGTAGTGGGAGAGGAGTGGTGTCAAAATGCTGCGCCCCTAAGATGATACACCAAAAACGTTTTTGTGCAGTCTAAGATGATTTTATCCAGAGCATGACTGCATGATACGGTGTCTTGTGCAGCGTGAAATGATGCACGAAAAGGGGTTTATTTAAAACCCCTTTTTAAGACCCCTTGCAGCAACTGTTATTGAGGCTGAAGCATACCAATTATGCTGGACTACAGGGACATCTCCGTCATAGAAAGTGTGCCTCTAATGTGGGGGCCCGTGACCGCGTCACCCGTGGGAATTGAACCCATGACCATTTTAGAGGGGGGGGGGGGCCCTTATAATTGATATCCAATACATAACGGCGAGAATTCCACGTTTGACCCGGGCTGGCCCCCCAATACCCCCTATGATTGTGCTGAAGCACGGAGAACTCGGGTAGCTGACGCTACCTTTCGTGATATATTGTTTTCACGTCTGGGAAAACACTACTGTAGTGTTTCCATATGATTATGGGTACAATAGCAGTACCACATTCTTTTGAAAAAATGAGTCGTCTTTGAAAGCACGCCCTTAATTCATCTACAAGGCCTATTTCAGTTGGAAAAGTAAGGACGCTCCCTGGCGTTTTTAACAGGTTGTAGATATGTTCAATACATTGGTTACCCTTGATGCAGTGCGCTCCCACTTATCCCACAATTAGCAATCATTGCTTCAATTCTCACATCATTGGGTTATGTATTCCCATGACATCTCCTTCATATTCGCATATTTCTGAATTAAGTGGATTGGTTCGATGATTTTAATGAAAATAAAAAATAGAGGAAACCTGAAGAAAAACATAGGAAAACCCATGGTTTCCCATAGATGTTGCCCCAAACCAAGTCATTTCTTAACGGATCTCAGGGTTCTCCACCCCTGGAGCCCTCCCTTTTTCAAAGGCCACCGGGAGCTTCTCCACTTGCGCCCAGCAGTCATCGGAGCGGTGACCGGACCAGGTCCAGCGACACGGCAAGGTCTTGCGAAGCCGCTCCACCTGGGAAAGGGGAAATTCATTCAGTTGAGATGATTAGTTGGTTTGAATGGTGATTAATGGATGATTAATGGTGATTAATGGATGATTAATGGTGATTAATGGTGATTAATGGATGATTAATGGTGATTAATGGTGATTAATGGATGATTAATGGATGATTAATGGATGATTAATGGTGATTAATGAATGATTACCCTCTGGTAATGACTAACAGTTTGCTATTGAAAATATACCATAGAAATAGTTGATTTACCTATTCAGTTTATGGTGATTTTCAATAGCTATGTTAGTTTACCAGATGATTAGTCATGGGGATACCCCAGTAGCCAGATGGTTTCTATGGAAAATCCTAGGGTTTGTGGTTGCAACCCCTCTGAAAAATGATGGAGTTCGTCAGTTGAGATGATTATTCCCAATATATGGGAAAATAAAAAATGTTCCAAACCACCAACCAGATGGAAATTCAAGCCGAAGATGTTGAAGTTCTGGGTTTGTGGTGTTTTGGGTTTGGGATTATGGTTTTTGGGCTCCACTTTGCTGAAGATTCACTGAAGATGTTGGACTGCAAAATGACCGTCCAATGGGGGAGCCGGGAGTGTGCGATGCAGTTCGAGGGGCCACTGCCGGCCACTGTCATCCCACCTGTTTGGCATAGATGAATGCGCCACACAAGCAGGGCTCAATGTCGCCAAGGGATACTTGGCCTGGAAACAACTGCAGGGGAGGAAGCCAGAAACCCATGCGCGCAAAATGTATACATGTATATATATATACCTTGTCGGTTGATACGCGCCAGAGCATATCCAATAAGTAAAGACAATAATGCAAGCAAATACTACTGGTAAATCCATCCAAATCCGCATATGCACATAAATAGATACACATGCAACCATGCAAATAAATAGGTTGGGTTAGGTTCTGTTAGATCACATTAGGTTTGATCAAATCAGATTACTGTAGATGAGATCAGATTAGATTTAGGTCGAGATCAAGATAAGATAGACAGAGATAGACAGAGAGAGACAGACAGACAGACAGACAGACCGACAGACCGACAGACCGACAGACCGACAGACCGACAGACCGACAGACCGACAGACCGACAGACCGACAGACCGATGGATGGATGGATGGACGGATGGATGGATAAATGGATAAATGGATAAACGGATAAACGGATAGATGGATAAATGGATAAATGGATAAATGGATAGATTTGTAGACATATGGCTCTGCATGTGCATATCAGGTCTTCTTTGCACAGCCTCCAGCTCACAGCTCGCCTATCTCTGGACCAAGGTACACATGTTTTGCGGCAGCGATGGGAAGAGTTCCCTCACCGCCTCCTCCAGTTGTTTGCAGTGCTTGGTCAGCTCTCCTGCGGGGAAGCTGGTGACCTTGCCTGGCGTGGCACCTCTGCTGAAGATCCCCATTTTGTTGGCAGATTACTATTTGAAGGGTACCTCCTAAGTATATACTCAACCAGTGGTTCTTGATCAATCCAAGGGTGACATCTATCATCATTTATCCCCGATACCAAGACGAAGTTTGAACCAAGTCTCTCTCGTAGTACTGGGCGGCCGCTTTTCCCTGCTTCAGCGGGATGCCCAGGAAGACAAAGGCCCCATTTCTTGCTCCTTGTCCAAAAGGCAGCAGGCTTTGCCCCACCTGCAGCCCGAACCCACTTCCGATCCGGGTCCAGCCATGAATCGGAAACCAAAGACTGTGCATCCACAAGCAAGAACCGTGAATCATAAACTAAAACCGAGGGCTTCGGAAACTCAAAACCTGAATCGGAAAAGATGGGAGAAACGGAAAACGTTTTTTGTCGGACAGGTGCTACAGAAACCAAATACCTTTCCTGGGGGTTCCCATTGTTGACTTGGACAGCAAACCTCTGAATCTGAAACCCGGTTATTGACAAGTTTGCTGTAACTCCATGGTTCGTCTGTTAGTTTGGACCTTCTCCCAGTTTGAGATATTTCTGCGGAACCAAAATCCGCAAAACCTTGGCCCCTTGGCCCCAAACACCACCTCCCGGAGGTGTCGCTGCCGCGAGGCACCCAGAATGATCAAAACCTCCTTTTGGCTCAGGTCTCCTTGATTCCATTGATTCAGAGCAAAAAAAAATCATTGAGGATGCGATTGGAAACCCTCAGTAAACATACCAAAAGATATGGAAAAGCACCGTCAGTTGAAATGGGATCTATCACCGAACTAAATGGGCCAGCTAAACCATAGCAAACTGTAACAAATTATCAGACGGTAAGGATCCTTACAAAATCAATAAACAAAATGTGTGATGATGGTTTGTGCAGTCAAGATGGTCTGCTGTGGGCGTTTCAAAAATGGCACTTTCATTCACTGATGAACGTGATCCAACGGAGACACAAGATGATATCTGAACAACTGCAACATCAATCTTCCACAATTGGGAGATAAAATCCACTGGTTGATGGTGTCAACCCCATATAAACATGAGACAATTGTGGATCCTCCGTCAGCTTTTGGCCACTTGTTGATTCAAATAGATCTCATGAATTACTACCAGAAACGGTGAGATCCTTGTAAAATCACCATCAACAATGGTGAAATCCTATGAAAATATCATGTTTCATGGTTAAATCATGGTTAACTCACCATACCCAAGTCATCACCAGGTGCCCATCCGAGTCTCTTCCGGACCCCGCCAAGCTGCCGCGAAGACCCTTGAGGCTCTTCAACGTGTGTCGGAAGCTCTCGGGGCTCTCCTGGAAAGTTGCCACCAGCTGGGGCACCGCAGCGTGCCAGTCGCACCTGGGCGAAAGGAAAGGCTTCAACGGTTGGAAACTGAGTGTGGTTGATTCATTACCATATTTATAATAGTGGTATACCATATTTATAATAGTGGTATACCATATTTATAATAGTGGTATACCATATTTATAGTACTATTATAGGTAACCACTATTATAAATATGCTATACCACTATTATAAACCACTATTGAGTGTTTGGACCCAGGATTCATGTCAAGGCCCTTACCAAGCAGTATCATCCGCAAGCGAAGTGTGCTTAAGTATCCATGTACATGGTCGGAGTCCATCAGGGATTTTTTTATGGAGGCAGGTGCGCTTGGTTTCTGCAATATGTTGCCATATCAAAAGGAATATTCCACAATAATTCCTAAATAATACCTTCAAAAAAAAACAAAAAAAAAATCTTTGCCGCGTTATGTTCTTGCTAGAAGGTGATTCGCCTCGTTTCTGGTTCCCAAAGCTTCAGTCCCACAATACATGACCAGTTATCCTAAAAGTAGTCTTGGATGATTGCAACCAATCATTGATACTCCTAATGTCTTCCTGGACCGCTTCCAAAGTTCCTGGCATATGGCATATGCGTTCGGCATTGGATCAGCTGCCATCTTTATGATTCGCTGTGCAACCCAAAAGCAGGTTCCAGGGTTCCAGTGTTTGGGTTCCCTTCCATGGTTTGTGGGCGTGGAAAACAAACAAGCACCACTCCCAGACCCAAAAGAAAACCCAACAATCACTTTTGTTGGGAACAGGATTGTGGTTTCCTTGGCTGACGCATAATTTGAGGTGACACTCCCAAGCTCGTAAAAGGGACACTAATTCGCGAAGCTCACAAAATCCCAACCGCTAGCAACAAGTTGAAATAGCATTGGGTATGGGTCAACCACATCATCTGGTAAACCCAATCGTCCCAATCCTAAACCATCCCCGATATTACCATAAATGTGGTAAAAATCATCCCCAAATAGTAGGTTTATGGCATTGGGTTTGCCAAACAATAGTCTATGCCTCTATGGCTGACCCCTGGTTCTGCACCGAGGGTCAACCAGAGGAAGCGGTCCTGCAGGAAAACAAAGGATTGTTGTGTGTCAACAATGACACTGGGGTATAAACTTGCCATCCAATGACGAAAATGATATAAAATGATGATGAACCAGTGGATTGAATGGTTTCCCCTATGTTCAACTCATTTTTATAGGCCATTCTTTGGATAGATCTTGGATAATTGAAAAACTTCTCAAATCTCCATGGATTGACAAGGAACCTGGGAATAATTCATTGGTGAATAATTCATTACAATGGATCCATTCAAAATAACCTATCCTATCCATTAATAGGTTAAATATGGTTAAATCATGAGCCATCCAATTAGAAGGTTTCAATTACAAAAATAAATTAAAAAAATAGAAAAAACATCCATGTGCATGTTATATATTGTTATATAGTGACTACCCTCTGGTAAACTAACATAACTATAGAAAATCACCACTCTGAATAGGTAAATCAACTATGAATGTGGAATTTTCAATAGCAAACTGTTACTTTACCAGAGTGTAATCCATGTAAATTAACCACATGAGTTAAATCCCATTCAATCCCCATTCAACCCCCATTAAACCACCATTAAATCGTGACTATTGGTGGGTAACTAACTCGCCCAACACCTCCGAAGTGCACCGACACCTGGGAGAGGCGGAACTTCTTGTCCAGGCCGTCGGAGCCGATGACTTTCATGACGCCACCAAGACGGCACACGGCCTCGGCGCTGGATCTGTTTTGTTGAAGGAATCTGATGAATATATATAGTTATATATATATGTATGTATGTATGTATGTATGTACGTATGTATGTATGTATGTATGTATGTATGTATGTATGTATGTATGGGTAGAAATGGATTATGATGGAACTATAGTTTTTATAGATATATATATATACCAATGGATTTATGTTAATTTTCAGGGTCTATGTTAATTTACCGGAGGGTGTATATATATATATATATGTGTGTGTGTGTGGGTAAATTATAATAATTCACTAACCTGAAATCTTGGGCCATTTGGGGATGATTCCCCGCAATCTAACCATGATTTCCAGGGTTCGGTCGCAGTGAGGTCGCTATAATTTACCCAGATATAGATATATATATATATTTACATATATATATATGGGTAGAAATGGATTATGATGGATCTATAGTATATATATATATATACCAATGGATTGTGATGGATTTGGATGGATGAAATTATAATGGATACAAATATCAGAAGCGAAATGTGAATGAAATTGAGACACCACACCAGGACCACCGGAGCCCAAGGCGCCGTACTCACGAAGCGTAGTACACTGAGGGCTTGCCGCCGGTCCTTCACATATCTCCGCGTGGCCCAAGTGTTACGAAGCGCCTTCCAGGCCTGGTGCTGATGACCTCACAGGGCGAAGCTGGCAAGCTTTGAATCTGATGGCCTGGTGACCTGGTGGTGATGTTAATTTATCATAATATAAAGTAAGTAACCAGCAGATAGAAAATTCAGGATTATTCTATCTGCTGGTTACTAACTATAAAGTATGTTGATCAATCAATTTGTCATCATTCATCCTAATTTATCCATCATCAATGAACTATCCATAAACTATCCAATGCCACAATGCATAAAATCCATTAAAACCATTTGTCATCAAACTTTGCCTCCATTCCCCAAGAAGATCCATACCAGAAACCTCCACATCTTATCATTGTTCATCCCATCATCAGTGTCGATCACCTCCCCTAGCGCCACGTGCACATCTTCGTAGTGGATCAGCTTCCCCGTGTGCGTCGTGGGAAAGCGGCAGGACAAAGGACATCTCACGGCCAGGTCCCGCAAGGCCTTGCGCTGCTTGAAGATGGGAGATGATGCTCTCAGCACCTGCGGATGCAGATCGAAGTGGCGGATGTAACTAATGTCAACCCTGGATTAATAAACCCCTAGATTGTTTAATTGGGAGGGTACCATTTAAGCATCATATTATGACTATTGGAGGGGTACCCCCCTAATTAATAAACCATGGTTTATTAATCCGGGGTTGACACTACCAAAAATAGTGGAAATTATTGGAAATTGGCTGATTCTGCCAGCAAAAAATGTTTTTTTTGAACCAAAATGGGGGGACCGGTTGGTAAATAGGTATCACTGCAGGACTTGCTGCCCAGGCTTACTCTCTGTCTGGAACACAAATAGTTTTCATACTGTCGGAGGCAAGGCATATGTAAGTCTGTAGTCTGGCACAAGAGAACATCAGAGTAGGGGATTGAAAGGATGGAGCAAAGCCATTGGCTAGATAAATATGTCTTTCAGAGAAGCAAATGTTCAGGTTGGAGAAATCGTTGGATTTTCTGCCACCTTTCTTCACCAAACAAAAGATATGTCATCTTTGCCAAGGAGCTCCTAGGAAGGCTGCGAAGGTGTAGATGCGACCCTTGGTTGATTCCAACTTGGGCAGTGACAGCTGCAGGTCCTCGGAGAGCCATCCGTGCATCAGCCGCGAGAGCTTCTTGGCCCGCGCAGCGTCCGTCAAGGGACTCACCATGGCTGGCCGCGATATGACACCAGGGGCCAAGGATAGCAAATAGCAGCCTCTGTCCCTGGTAGTTGGGCCATGTTCGGCCACCTTTTTTGGGGGGCCCTGGAGGGAGCTTGGAGTTGAACAATCCAATAGCTGATGGGGTTGGAACAAGGTGACCAAGTGATGGGGGTGGCACTGCAGCGCTGTGAGGAATCGGTGAGTCCTGGTGACTTCCTCTCTTTGCCAAGAACGGCGGACAAGCGAAGCGCCCTAACTTCTGATTCATCATGACATCTGCTCCCCATTCTGTCATCCTGGTTTGCCCAACGCCCATATGGACCGCACCGGGGGCAAATCCGCTGAAGAGCGCCTGTCGTCCCCCGAGGCTGCAACACAATCTACAGCCACCACAGCATGATCTAATCCAACCTATCAATCTATGTGTGTATGTGGGCTGTATGCATATGTATGCGTTTAGAGATAATTCATGAAGGATCCCAAATAAGTGAGTTCCAACAAAGGTGCGACGCCTCTGGCCCAAGCTTCTTGAGCAGCCGTCCCACCTCTACGCAAAATTGGGAACCCGAATGCCCGAAAATGTATGACCATCAACAACCCAAATCAGAGGCAATGCTTGTTGTTCGGAAAGTAATGGCCATGGGGGCAGTATGGGCTAGCGGCTAGCAGCAAGTCCCTTCCACCATTTTCAACCCACTCGCCCATTTCTTCTCCGAACTCTGCTGGCCGGTCAGCGGCCCAGTACCGCCCCGGAAACGCGCGACGATGCGCGATGCTTCGACCCCGGTGCTCGCCATCACTGCGAATGGTGCGCTTCTGGGTGGTTGCCAGGGAGGTCGGAGAGCGACGGAGCTTCCTGGAGAAGTGGAACTGGGCAGACTTGGGGAAGGCTTAAGCACAAGCCATCCCCAAAATCACCATAAACTGGGTGCGATTTCAACCCTCCCCAAACGGTACCTTTATTATTGGGTTTCCCACATTAGTGGGATTTCACCAACAATGGATTGATGTGCCAGGGGAAGATTTGGAGGAAACACCATGTTTTATGGCAATAAAAGTGCTCCTGTGAGTTGTCCCTGCAACCGTGTCCGGGAAACACACACTTTGGTAAACTCCATAATGGAGAGGGTGAAATGAGATGAAATGATAACCGTCATGTCGTGTTGTTACATTAGCATGTCATGTCATGTCATGTCATGACATGTCGGCTTGGGTGGTTTTTGGCTTGGCCACCTTGCCATTTCGGATGCAGGTACGTTTTCACGACGACATAGATGGGTCTTCGTTGGCCCGTGCCATCTATGCGTCCACGGGCCCCCTGCTTTTCCCTTTGATTCAGGGTTTCTCACACACAGCAAGCCACTAGGGCACGATGTTACTGTTCCACTGGTTGCTCCCTTAGATCCAAGGTTTTCACTTAGACGTATATCAAGCCGCTGAGCACGATTTTTCCAAGAACGACTTCCCTCGGTGTGGTTGTTTTGGACTGAATGTGAGGAAATCACCCCTCAGTGCTGTTGGTCTCGAGTCACATATGTCGAAAACAGGAGTCAAACAAACCTACTTTTTGAAACTAGACGGATAAAACTGGTGGTTTGAGGTGAGGATATTAGGTATTAAATCAAAGCTCCTACTTGACCAAAGAACCAATCAGCAAGTATGCCGAAGCATCTGAGACGCCTTGGCTCGTAGTACTTTCTCGGGATATCCGAGCGATACGTACCTTCGAATTAAGGACTCAACATCATCTTTTGCTTGTTTACGTGGGTAGCTGTGTCGAGCAGCCAAGCAAATCCGGCTGAATGCTGCTGATAGTTTGTGTTGCTTTGATGCTGCTGAAGCAAAAGGTTGGAATTGCCAAGTGTTGGTTGGTTGTATGTAGGATAAGGTCTGACGATCAGGGTCGATTGTGCAGCCAAGAAAGGATAGGTCTGGTTCTTGTTCAAGGAGAACCGGAGGTTCATAGAAAGTGTCTGTGAGAAAGTGCCGGATGCCTGCATGATGTTGTTGTGATTTGTCGATAAGAACAATTCGGTTGTCAACGTATCTGGTGATATAGATACGGTCAGAGAATTGTTGTAGGAGTAATTGGATTTGTGGCTGTGTGCGCCACTGATGTTCCACATGGCTAACTGTAATGTTGGCGAGAACCGGGCTGATTTGATTGCCGATAGCGCTGCCACGTACTTGCTGGAAGGCGTGGTTCATGTGTGTAAAGATTGATGCTTGCAAGGATAGTTGACAAATGTCATAAATGTCGCCAAATCGGATTTGGTGATGGCTGTTGGCTGCTTTGCGAGGCCGGCCTCGGAACATCCGCAAGGTGTTGTCTGTTTGCCGAAGATTGACAGTAAACATTGTATTGTGATCAACATGTGGATGTTGTTGTTTGTAGAAGTCAAGGAGTGTTCGTACCGAGTGCATGATGCGCTGTGCTGGAATAGAAGTGAAAAAGCCGGCAAGGTCTTGATTGTGGACTGTAAGCTCTGCGTCTGGTGGTATGTGTGTGAGGAATCGTTGGAGATTGGAAAAGATCTGTTGAAGTGACTGAAGACCAAAGGTGTTTGGCATGCAACATTGGAGTAGTTGTTGAAGGATAATGGCTGTGGCTTTGAGGAGTTTTGCGAAAAGAAACCTGCGATAGTTGATAATAGGTCGAGCTGCAAGAAATTGTTTCTTCTGTTTTAAAAGAACATAGGCCGTGGGGCATTGGTTGGTGCTGCTGCAACCCCACTTGTATTTGTGCAACCAAGGTTGGTTGGCAAGTTGTTGGAGAAACTGTGTTGCTTGTGTTGGTGTGAGAGTGGTCTGTGTGTAAACTGTAGTGTCTCCAAAAGTCCTGCGAAGAACGGTCCAGTAGAGGTATGGACAGAAAACAAAAATGGCTGATGGTGCATGGTCCCGACAGTGGACCACTAGTGATTTGGTGATTGACTTAAGGTATTTGATGTCACGATACGGACTCTTGTGCGTGTGTCAAGTGCTGTGTCCACTGCTCATGTACATGTTGGTGCCAATGTATCCAATGTTCATAGGTGATGTTGAAGAGACTGTGGTGTTGAAGCCAGCGTTGTAATGTTGGCCATGTGCATTGGATGTAGTGTTGTCTGGTAGGATAGACCTGCGTGCCGGCATGTGTGGATAAGAATTGTTGGAGGCGGAATGGAATGGTTAGATGTCCTGCTGGACTGGCAATGTGTGGGGAATTGTCGAGTGTAGTGGTGAGGAGTTGCGGGTGCTGTGTTGTGATCTGGTGACATAAGCATGCTGGAGGAATATGCCACTGAAATTGTCTCATCCAACTGAAGTGAGAGAATAGTGCTTGTTTCAGTGTTGTGTGTTTGCCTGCTGTAATGTTGCATTTTGGCACGTGGAAGGGTGGTAGCCACGGTTTTTGTTGTCTGGCTAATTGGCGAAGCCAGATGCGTGTCTGTGTTGCAAAGGTTGTGTGACAAAGAAGTGGTAAAATTAATGGTCGTGGAGTGGGTGGTAGTGGTAGTTGTCGAAATTGTATGGCTGACTTGATAAGGCTGCGTACACGGGTGCGTGGTGGGTCATCCATTTGGTTGGCCAGTTTGTAAAGAGCAAAAAGGTGATTGGAGTGGGTGGAACTGGATCGAATGTGGCGTTGCATGTCAAATGAGCGTTGGCTCTGTTCAGCAAGAATGTGGAGTTGAACCCAAGCTGTGGTGTGCTTGGAAAGATTGTGGTCGTAAAATTGGAAAACTTGTTGATACATCAATCGTCGTCGAAGCTGAGCGTAGAGCCGGTTTCCGATTCCCAAATAAGTGGTGCGTAGTGCTTGTCGTAAGTGTGGTGTTGAATGTTGTTTTGTGACTTGTCGTTGTAGGATAAACGGGTAGTTGAGTGGTGGACGCCACTTTTGGATGATGTAGCTTTCCAGCGTTCGTGTTTGTAATGTTGTGTTGGTGTGTAGTAACGGCAATGCGACAAATTGATAATAGTTGTTTTGGCTGCAAAACCAATGGAGTGCCAATTCGCATGACACCGGTTGTGCTTGTTTTAATTGTCTCAGCTTGCGTTGTCTGGTGTTCTGACGATCGTGTAGCGTGTGTATGGTGCTGCCAATGTAGTGTTCTGTGCTGGAAAGACGAATGTTGAGTCCCGATATGACAATTGCATGAAGAAGTATATATACAGTGTTGGATTGACAGAACATTTGTTGCAACTGTACAAAAGTGCGAACAGACTTCAAACATGTTCTGTCAAATCTCCGATTCCATTTTCGACATGGTTGTTTATGAGACTGGTGAGTACACCAATGAAGAAAACAAAAACCAACTGCAACACGTAGGTATGTTCGAAAAGCAACAGTGTCATAAAAATCATCAGGTGGAAAATGTTGCAAGAATCCGAGAAACGCAACGCATGCCGCCGAAAACTGTACATGAGTCGGATCGCCGCGATCTAGTCACTCGAGTTGAGTGACCGCAAACAGCAGCAGCTTGTAGAGCTCCTCATTGCGCGCCTTTGCCGCCAGTGCCACTGGTAAACCAAGCGATGCTGCTTTGTCTGCAAACGTGCTTTGCTCTGCTTTTGGAATTTTCTTCATGAGTTGATGCAATGTACTCAATGCCTCCTGAAGGGCTGCCTGGTGTTGTTTTGGAACTGGCTGTTTTTTAATCCAAGCGTCCACTGTTTTTGTTGCCATTGTATGTGGTGCGGCTGTGGTGAAAGGACGTGTGGTGTTTGTGCCTGGTAGATTGTGGATGCTGTCCTGTAGGTCGGTGATTGTGGTTTGTGGAGGAGTGTCACTTGCACTGCGAGGAGTGGCGGTGTGTGCTGAAGTAGTAGTGTTGTCAGCAGTGCGTGCTTTGATGCCCATGTCCTGTAATGTTCTTGGTTTCTTGGTAGCTGGTTGTGTGACCTTGGTTGCTGGTGCTGTTCGTTTGTTAGGTGCGGTTGGTGGCGTGCGTGGTTCGTGGTTGGTTGGTGGTGTTGGTAGGGCTGGCTCGTGTGTGAGATCTTGTTCTTGCGTTTCGGCA